GAGGCCCCAAATATCTTTCTTACGCTCCTCTTTCTAGTGTAAACCTCAGCATTGGATGCCACTGGATTCATGACACCTTTCAAAATAAAACATGTTTTTTTTTAACCATCCAGTTTGAATCCAGAGGTCTTTGGCCCCAACACTAACTCTCCCTCACAGATACATCATCATCATCATCATCATCATCATCATCATCATCATCATCATCATTATTCAGTTGTGTCAATTTTTGGAAACTGCTTGGGCAGGTGTCTGCTGTTTTCTTCGCAGGGTTTTTCAGATGTAATTTACTTTCTTCCTAAGACTGAGAGAAAGTGACTGGCCTAAAGTCACCTAGCTGGCTTTGTGCCTAAGGCAGGATTCAAACTCATGGATTTCTCGTTCCTAGCCTGATGCCTTAACCACTATACCAGACTGGCTCTCCACTAGTACTTACATCAGAATAAATGGCTGTGGGGCTGTGATCACAGACAACTGAAAGAACAATAAAAAATAAGATAGCAATTTATAGGTGTTAAACCTTTAAATGCCTCTGAGAATTGGAATGTCCTCAAACAGCACACTTTATTTATTTATACATGACCTGAAGGAGCACTAAAAATATCTGCTGTTGAACTTTTCCCCCTGGTAATCAGAAGCTGGCAATAATTTTTACTTACTGTTATTATTTATTCATTATTAATTAGTTCAATTTATATGATATTTTGATCGCAAGCCAACATCCAATTGGGAATATTTTAGGTATACACTAAAAATTGGAGCTGTTTTGATGTTTTTTTTTCCAGTTTTGAAAGAATAGTTCTTTGAAATGACGTTCAAGGTCTGCACTATTTTAAAGGAGAGAAGCTGCCAGATAAATGTCAGGGCCTCTCTATGTTTTGTTTGGAATCTGGAGAATACTATTCCTGTGGTATGTAAAGCAAGAACTGTATCTAACTCTTATTAAATGTATATTATTCCTGTGGGACCTGTGGTCTCTTTTGTGATTTCTCAGAACTCTGTTCAAAATATAGCATACAGTCTATACATTCAATTCTAAACACTATATTTTTCTGGTCACAAACAATTATTTTTCTGCTTTTGAATTTAATGATGAAAAAGAAAGTGGGAAATGACTTCTTACAAGGTAATAATTTAGAGTCCAAGATAAGTTAACTGAAGGAAGGTAATAGAAAGAAAATTATCCCCCTCTCTCTTCTCCCAGCCTCCTGAAAAGACTCTGGATTATCTCAGGACCGACTTTATCTATCTGTCTTTCTGTCATATTTGTAGGCTGGCCAATGGAGACAATTCTGAGTGGTGTACCGATTAAAACAAAAACAACAATCAAACACCATAAAAAAAGAGAATAGATGTATGAACAGGGAGGCAACAAACACAATAAGAGCAAAACAACCCACAGTGAGTCCAACACCTGGGGAAGTTGAGGCTGTTTATGTATCTGAGGGTGTGCTGTTACAAAGGATAAGTGTCATGATGGAAAAGGTACACCTCCAAGACCTCATTAGATAGCATTATTTGATAGATAGATCCCAAAGCATGCTAACTCTGTCAGATAATTCTGGATCTACAGATATCACAGGAGAAAAATGAACCTTCAAATAATCAGTGTCTGGAATGGCATTTTTGGTTGACAACCAACAGCTTGAATTACACCTGGAAACATAAAACAAAAATATTATATGGGCATATTGAGACATTGCCCATTAATTGTTTGTGCTGCTGCAGCATTCTAGATAGCTGAAGTTTTCAAGTACTCTTCCAAGACAGCTCCTGCAGAGTGCATAGCAAAAATCCCAATGAACCTCTCAAGGTTGAACCTAAACACGTACATCCTGATCCAGACTCTTCCCAGTCTTCAGACAATGGTATGAGACCTTGACAGCATTACTTGGTCAATCTGAAAATATACAAATGAATATCATCAGTAGCTGATACCTTACATAGAAATTAAACAGAAGGGATAAGAGCATCAAGCTCTATGGTACCTGGATTTCGGGGGCAGGGATTTTGGGTGCAACATTTCCTCCGCCTCCAGTCAATGACTAAAATCAAACACAGAAGAGGGAAATTGTGTTGCAACACATAACCTTCCACTCTCAGTCCTTGCAAGTCAGTCTGGAAGGATAGCATGATCAATGATATTGAAACCTCATTGAGAGATTAAAAACACCTATGACAGATGCACTATCCCTGGGTAGATTAAAGCCAACTAATGCCCCATACACTGCCCAGCAGTTATGCCCTTCGATGGAAGCAAAATGTATGTGATGAGACAGAAACAAATGTGATATCTGATGGTACCTTCAAAACGAACTTTTAAATGTTAGTCAATCACCATGCCAAAGAACATATGTTTTTAAACAATGAAGATTAAATTTGAATATGGCAGATAAGGACAATTTTAAAAATTCACTTAAAGTTGAATGTGGCACTCCCCTTTCCTCGGCACCCTAAGGATATGCTTATTTTGCTGAATGATTAATTCACCAGTGTCCCAGCTCTGCCAAAGATCAAAGGTCAGTGACAAGTGCATAGTTTCTTTATACTGTGACAAACCTGAAGCCTATCCAGATGATGACGTGATATGAAAGGCTGGACTGAAAAATTGCCATGAATTGGGCAGTTGCTTGCATCTTTCCTCCTGTAAATCTTAACATCCCTTTTCCTATGGTTAAGGAGAGCCTCCATGACATAATTTTTAATTATTTTTAAAAGCCTGAGTGACTGGAAAAGAGAACTTTATTTTCATAAACCTCTGTAGGGAACGTAACTTGAAATTCTGTCCTGTGTATTTAAAATTAGTGAATAAGAATAGGATGAGTTTCAGATCGTTAGTTAATACAGATTAAACAACTTTTATTATACCTGTTTCTTATGACTATTTATGGGATGTCCTTCCTTATCAATAGATCACAGTCTAATTAATATAATCATTGAGTAAAATATGTAGAATACAATGCGGACTAGGAGGAAAGGAAGACAGCCAATCTGATATGCTGGTTAAAGCATCAAACTAGAAACTGGGTGTTTAATCCTGCTAGGCCCAAAGCCAGCTGGGTGACTCTAGGTAGGTCACTCAGCCCTAGGGAGGAGGCCAGTGGCAAACTTCTTCCAAAATGAGGGGTCCTTAGTACTGTCTTAGTCTGTTTGTTTTCTTGCAGATGTTTTATTACATTCATCGCTAGCACTGATGATGTTACCTAATTTGGGTAATGAAACATCTGCAAGGAAACAACCAAGCTCAGAAGGCACTGGAACCCCTCATTTCAACCCTGAGCTACAAATATTCTCCTTTATTGACATTTTCAAAATCTTGCCAAGAAAAGTTCAGGGACTAATCCAGGCAGTCACCGTGAGAGGACATTGACTTGAAGGCACAACAACAAAAACAATAACACAAGGAAAGTCATTTCTAATTAGGTTGCACAAATGGAGCCTCTAGTAGTCTTCTGATAAAGGTGATGTAGTAGCTGCATTTAAAAAGAGGCAACAGGTCAGAATATAGCAAAAGGATTGTTGTTAGTATTTATTTATAACAAGCAAGGTGCAGAGAGGAAGGAAAAATTGATGGAGATAAGCTGATTTCATTGCAAGGCAACAAAGGCTAAAGATTTTTAAAGCCCAGAATATCCAGATAACATTTGGAAGTGACTCAAGACTAATTTGTGGAACTATAAGAAGGAGACACAACAAAATCAAAACAAGCGAAATTTTGCTTTAATAGCCGGTCTCAACAAAAGTAATTGTGAAAATCTTGTGGAGTTGATTTCATAATCTGGTCTACCCATGTGGCGAATACAAGGCCTTCAGATTGTGTCATCGCTTGTAGATTTTTAAATATCTACTTCTTTAAGATTAAATAAACAAGTTTAAATGGGGGAATTGGGAGCCTCAAGGTATAAAGGAAAAGCACAATATAAATATAACCTTTTAAAAGGAAATCACGAAAAATTAAATTTTCATTTTGTTATTATGTAATTTGAGAAATTAGAATTATGATTGCCCTAAGAAGATTTTAAAACAACAGCAGCAATAATAATTTCATTTACATGTATTTAAGTTTGTTTATTGGTGGATATTGGAACTTGGAGTCTGTACTAAAAGGTGATTTTTAAAAGAGATTTACCAATGTAGAAATATGACCTTATATGTGCATTTTGAAGTCCAGCTTCTGGCATTAGAACATCAAGGGGAAAAATGGAAAAGTCCCAGTTATGTCTTGGACAGCTGTTAGTAGAACTGGACAAGCAAACCACTTACGTACTAGAAAATAAGAATGGAGAGATATGTAATGAAAAGGCATCATACCTTTTATATTTTCATTATTATTATTATTGTTTATATTTATATAATTTATATATTTATTTATATTTTCATGTTTAGGTATTATACATATTTATACATTCTATAACACAGTAATTTAATACAATCAATGTTCTCTGTTACAAGATAAACATATATACAACTAAAATAACTGCAGTTATCTCCATCTTCTATGGAAATTCTCAATCATCCACGTCATGGTTGTCCCAAAGGTGCTTTTTTCAAGAAGCAACTGGATTTTCTGGGTTTTTTTGAAGATATTTGGAGAGTTGAAGAAGTAGCTTGGATGAGAAGCAAACGTCTTCAAAGAAAAACTAGAAAGTCCAGTTGCCTCTTGAAAAAAATACCTTTGGGACTTCTGGAATTCACTTTAAATATTTATAGCTCTTCAAAGGCAATGGCAAACACTGACTTTCTGTTGTGAGCCAACAAGTTTTTGTAGGGGTTTATCTCTTATTGTAGTTTTCACTTTTCAGGAAAGGATATAAGTCTAGGCCATTCCACTTTGACTGACTAGATTAGTCAGTCAAAGATAGATTAATATTGGGATAAAATTTCTCTGCTTCATGTTTAACCAATAGATAGATTTTTTGAGGAATAGGAAATAGGAGTTTCTTATTAATAAGTAAGTTTATATGACAAGGGAAAAATGAACTTGTACTCTTGTGTTACAGATTCAGTGGTTCTTTCCTCTGACTCCGTTGGACGTTCAATAGGCTCAGGTACAACTTCCCGTCCCCTCTTCTCTCTCATAAATAAGATTGCCAATTTATGTGTGACAGCCATGTTGGGAGGCAGATAAGCAGCTGTTAATCCCAATTCAAGATAACCCTTCATGATAGTCTTTGAAGGAAATTTGATGAGTCCTTTGCAAATAAGTAATTAAAGAGAATATAATCTTTATACTCTTTTCCTGTTGCTACATTTTTATTACTTAAATTGTGCTTTTGATTCTATTGCTTGGGAATCTGGAAGTTATAGTCTCAACTCATCTGGAAGGTACTATATTGGAGAAGGCTATTCTAAATAGAAGGTCACATTGCAAATAAAAAAACCCTTATACATAAAATTTAAACTATAATATCAGCAAGCTGCATTAGATAAACAAAACAAGTAGAGAAGTTTAACATGATAATTGACAATGGTTTATAGCAACAAAGCAGAACAGGATTTGTAATTTAAGTTAGTAAATCCCTGGCCACTTTCCTTGTCTGTTTTGTGAGTTTGCTAATAATTAGCAGCAAAAAGATTCAGGTAGGCTTGAGTGCTTTGGTTCATGTTATACCTCTTTATTAGAGTAGCCATAGAAATGCCTGTAATTAGAGAAAAATGATATTCCAAAAGAGGTTATATCAACCAATTTATCTTTCCAAATGCAGAAGAAAATGCAGATGATGCTTCTTGAGAGAAGATGGAACTATGTTCTTCCTTACATATAATAACTCCAATGTTTTTTCTGCAGCTGGAAATAATGAGTTCAGGGAGACACTTTTTTCTTCTTCTTAATTTTTGGAATGTTATTGACTTGAATTTAAAAGCAGTGTGCTCATTTTGTGTTAGAATACCTATGAACCAGTGTGACACATAAGGTGTAGCTGTAAATTGTGATCGATGAATGATTTAGCTAAAAATCACAAGATAGAGTTCTTAAAAGGTTGCACTAAGACCCCAATTAAAGAATTTTCAGCAAGGGAGTATAGCTTGGAAAAATAGGAGTAGATTTATCCTTGGTCAGCTTTAATCTATGTAAATATGTGGCCTAAAAGAAGTTCTGAACCACCTTCTCTTTAAAGTCAGTTAGCTCTTTTCTTATGAAAAATCTCTTTTCAGTATACCAATTAACCAATTATATTGTGATAAGAATATTTACTGCCTTCCAACATGGCCCCTGGCTTTTTGCCTGCTGTGCACTCACTGAAAATTATTTGAAAAAAGAGCTTTGGACTTCACATGAGTTCACCTCCTCTTTTTGCTGTTCAGTAAAGTAGATCAACTATTAAGGTGGCATTGTTAGCCTGAAAGAAATGATGCCGCAGCTGAAAGCACAGAAGCCTGAAAGAAGTCCAAATATTCAATGAATATTATAGAGGTATTTCATTCATATGAGGTCCAAAGCACTTTCTCCAAATAACTTTTGAAATATACACAGCCCTGCTAGAAAGTAATCAAATATAGCTTGCTGCCTAACCCCAACAGGGACGCCTAATTGAAAGGGTGTTGCTCGGTTACTAACCTTGGACTTTAGTCTTTTATAAGTAGAGGCTGCTTCTGCTCTTCTGTCTGCAAATCTAAAGGTAATTGAACTGGATGCATGATCTTCTCCCTGATTGCCTAGCCTTGCCTGGTGAAGGGAAATATGCTGGAATTTTAAAGAGAAAGCAAGCGGGTTCATCTCTCCACTCTATAAAACCTCTCCGGTAGATTCTCATGTAGCACCAAAGCCTCAGAAGTGCTGAAATACAATTAAAAGAAAATAATTTATTTCCTTTGTTTTAACAGATTTGAACTATTCTCTTTTGTATCAGTGGCCAAGTAGCCAGAAGAAGCTTGAAAATGGCTGCAGTTTATGATATTTCTGCATGCTGAAAGTAATTTAGGTTTAAGACTGCTGTTGGCTTTAATGTGCTTCAAGCTCTGCTAGTGAAAAAAGTCTGTGTAACAAGGTTTGAGTTGTGCGATCTATTGCTAAATTGAGGGACAGCTTTCCTTGTTGAAAGAGGAGGCTCAGAAGAAATCCAGATCTCTTGTGCTTCTTGCAATACTCCCTTCACAACTTGCTGCAAATCTGGGAACAGATCAGTGGTGAAACGTAAAATTTGTTACTACTGGTTCTGTGGGCGTGGCTTGGTGGTGGGTGTGGCCAACTTTTTTTTTCTTTTAAAAGCCTCTGACGATCCCAGCTGAGTTGCCTGATCATCAGAGGCTTTTTTTTTCTTTTAAAAACATATTTTCTACAACCTCTTCGGCTGAAGGGATTGTAGAAAAAATGCTTTTAAAAGCCTCTGACAATCAGGCAACTCAACTGGGATTGTCAGAGGCTTTTAAAAGCATTTTTTCTACAACCTCTTTTTAAAAAACTTTTAAAAACATTTTTTTAGCCGAAGAGATTGTAGAAAAAATGCTTTTAAAAATAACAAAAAAAGCCTCTGATAATTGTGCGGCTCAGCTGGGCATGGGGGGAGGGCAGGGATTTTTACTACCGTTCTCCAAACTACCCGCCGCCATCGCTACCAGATCGAGTGATCCGGTCCAAACCGGGAGCATTTCACCCCTGGAACAGATAAAATGAAAAAGGAACCTTTCACCTTCCGCACTCAGCCATTGTTAGTACAGGTAGCCTTGAGTCATGATGATAATAGGTACCGGAATTTCCTTTGCTAAGCAATACAATCATAAAGCATGATGTTACTTGTATGTTAGTCATGACAATCTTGACAATCCCCTTTGCCTTTGTTAGGCAATCCTGCCGGTTGTTAAGCAGGGATCCATCCCAATCTAAGCCATTCCTCCCTGCTTCGGACCACAGAAATGCAAGAGACTACCTCCTCTGCCTCCAGGTCCTTCCACCCACCCGTTTCTCATCCCACCCATCTCTTCCCTTTTGGCCATGCTGCATAATGGTACTCGTTGATGGCATTGGGGCTGAAGTAGAGACCTGTGGCATCCAGCAGTCTCAGCTAGCTGCCCACCCCCATCCCTGAGCCTTTATTTGAGACCCAATGGTGCTGCCGCTGCTGAGTGCTACCTCAAACCTCTGAGGCTTCTGACTGCCAATCTCCACACACACAGTTCTCACAATGCTTCAGAAAGCCTTTGGAAAGCTTCTGAGGCTTCCTAAGAGTCGCAAGAACGGCACATACTATGTGACAATTAATGGCATGCTAATTAATTAGTGGCAATTAAGAAATCTTTTTCCACAGTGATGCCTATTTTTATTTGAAATTACAAGAAATGAGAATAAAATAATAGACTAGAGCAGTGTTTCTCAACCTTGGTAGCTTGAAGATGGGTGGACTTCAACTCCCAGAATCCCCCAGCGAGCAGCGCTGGCTGGGGGATTCTGGGAGTTGAAGTCCACCCATCTTCAAGCTTCCAAGGTTGAGAAACGCTGGACTAGAGGAAGAGATAATTTCATTTAATGATTGAAGAAATCAGGATAGACCTGCTGTAGTTATAAAGCCGGCTGGGTGACTTTCTTTTATCCCTAGGAAGAAGGCTGTGGCAAATAATTTCCAAAAATATTGTCAAGAAAACTGCATGGACTTGTCCATGTAGTTGTCAGCAGTCGAGACTTACTTAAATGCACCAAAATTTTCAAAAAGGTGCAAGCAGTAGAGAGAGAGTATGCAAATAATTTGAAAACATGGGATGTTTAGGAACACTAGCTAAATAATACTATCTCTCTCTTTATATGGAGAAATAGCAATAGAAAATTGCAATATCCATCTAGATAGAATTAGATCTAATGTCATTTGTACCAAATAGTTACTTTTATAACATTTCTGAAATAAGTGGTAACATAGTTGCTACTTTATAAGGGACATTTGTGTGTCTTGTGTATGTGTGTTGCATAATAAGAAAACACAGCCATATAAAATGTTTAGAAAAAGATGACTTAATAGAGCAGATTCATGAAAGGGTTGTGTAAGTGATAACACCTGAGATATCAAAGATATCAAAATTATCTACTTTGCATTCATAATTGCCACGGTTCCAGTAATAACTATGATGATCTCATCTTGTGGAGTAAGCACAGGAGAAAATATAACCAAATCTGAATATACTTTATTAACAAATTTCTGAAGCATATGCAATTAAGGAACATTGGCACCAATTTTATTTGTTAAATTGATCTAGAGAGGACAAGTGTGAATATCAAGAACGGAATAATCTTTAAAGAAGAAGAATCTTCCATGAAGGACAGTTTTAAATAGATTTCTTTTGGACTGATACTCTCCACAAAATTACCATAGACTTTTACAAGCATTGTGTTCTTGCAGTTGAAGATAAAATAAAGCTAAGAGCACTTAGTGTCAAGAAGAATTGTATCCCAATCTGCAACACCCCTCATAGTATGTGCCTTGGTGTAAAATTACATTTATGATCTGCATGCTAACGTCTTTCAACAGCAGTATTGAGAATTTTACAATCAGCTGATTTAACGTTCTCTGCCTTCACCATTAAAGTTTCCATTGTTTGATTATGCATCAGTCAAATACATCAATCTGCAATTTCCTTATACATAGCATAGTCAGTAAAAATAATTCTGCCACAGACTGGCTTTCTGAGTATTGTAATTGGTCTTCAAAATATTAATATCACTTCAGAGATATAATTTGACAATGAAGGTAACTGAAGTAGTGGATAGCTTCTGCCTTTCAGGATCAAGTATGAATTTATTAAAGGAACCAGTTCTCAGATTCTGCAGACTAGCATTTATAGTAGGAGAACAGTGAAGCCTTAGAAAATATATTCAGATGTCAAGACGTGTTTATACTCACAAAGATAAGAATCATGCAATAACTGATTTTCCCTGTGAAATGCTATGGAGACAAAATTTGGACCTGAAAGACAGTATGGGGATGCTTTTGAATGTTGGTGTTAAGAAAGACTTCGGGGAACACTGTGGGTAGCCCCGAAAACAAAGGATAATGGAACGAAGCATTCAAGAGTTTTCACATGGAGATTATTATTTGCAATCTTTTGCAAAGATTTAGTTTAG